GAGAACCCAGGGAAATCAGCTAGGATCAAGAGCAGCCTTGAGGGGACAGGGCAGGGAGATGTGGTCCCTCCTATGTATCTTTTTGGGGAAAATAAATGATAGGTTTGAAGGTTTGAGACTGAACTTCCCCTTAACGAATTACATAATGGTTTCGGAAGAGTCTGATAGTTTTCATTGAATATCCCCTTTGCTTCATCTGCAGATCCTTGGACTAGAAAGGCTGTGTGTTTCAGCAAGGGCAGGGTACATCCCGGTAGTTCTTGGGCCTGAGGCCCTCCTGGCTGCAACTGGTGGACCTCAGGGTTCATGTCTGGGCACTTTCATCAGGAAAGTTATAGAGATCCAAAGAGCATCCAGCCTAATGGTTTGAGCAGATCTTGCCTTTATTTCACCTCCGAATAAGGGTGTCAGCAATCTGGGTCAGTTTTTTAAAGTATGGCTTTATTTATTCGTTCTCTTCTTAGTAGCCCCGTTCCAGCTGATTTAAGACATCAACCTCATCACTCTAGGCATCGCCCTACTTCACAGCCACCTAGCTTTGTATGCTCTCTACCAAGTCTACCCCTCAAAGTAGGTGGCCCAGAATAAAGAGGAGAAAGTAAGAGAAACAAAAGGGGCCCTTACCTTTCAGACCAGAGCTGGGCAGACCAGCAACTTGCCTTCTGGTGGCCGTGGGGCTCTGCCCACCCCAGGAATGGTAGTTTTCCGAGGATTCCCTGGAAGCTCATTCATCTCTCCTTTGTCCCCCTCCGCTGCCCGTCCCCTGCTGCCCTCCACCCTAAGCATCTTATAGAACTAGCCCACAGCCAAGCTAGAGTCAGAAGTGGGACAGCAGCAGGGTGGGGACTGTGAGCTCCTCAGTTGGGCCCTGGCTGTCAGGGACCATGACCATGAGGTCCGAAGCTCCCGCTCTTGGAGCTAGGACGCTAGGAGCCCTTCCTTCACCTGTATGTGACAGGAGAGTGCACCCAGAAGCTCCCGCTCTTGGAGCTAGGACGCTAGGAGCCCTTCCTTCACCTGTATGTGAGAGGAGAGTGCACCCAGACAGATCCAGGGCCCAAGGGAGTCTCCCAGGTTTAGAGGTCTGTGTGGCCTTGAGGACTGTGTTTTCCATGAAGTTAGATGTTCACAGAGCAGCCAGTTAAGGAGAAATTTCATTTCAAGGGGGTTGGCAGAGTCCACTCATCCCTCTCTGGACACTGCCCAGGCTCTGAAGGCAGCTCCATGAGGGGACACGGTGAGCAAGCCCCTGCCTACTAGGACTGGCTGCCCCTACCTGCCAGCTCAGGACGGACCTCCTCTGCCACCCTCCACTCTCTGACCCACACGTGGGCAAGGTACTCCTACAGGGCTCGGTTAGAATGAGCTGCTCGGTGACAGGAGCAAGCCAGTAACTTGGGTCCACGTGGGCTCATGGGTGCACCCTTGAGGCCATACACATGGGGCTACACACATGTGCATTTGTTCTGGTGAGAGCCTGTACTTTCCACCAGCTCCTTCTGACCTCTCCACCCTCCTAAAAAAGTAAAGAAGCACTTTTTTTTAAGAGACAGAGTCTCACTTTATTGCCCTTGGTAGAATGCCATGGTATCACAGCTCACAGCACCCTCCAACTCCTGGACTTAGGCAATTCTCTTGCCCCAGCCTCCCTAGTAGCTGGGACTACAGGCGCCTGCCAGAACACCCAGCTATTTTTTTGTTGCAGTTGGGCCCAGGCAGGGTTTGAACCCACCACCCTCAGTATATGAGGCCGGCGCCCTACTCACTGAGACACTGGCACCACCCAAAAAGCACTTTTTCCTAGAGGAAAAGGAAGGCACTTCTGACCCATTGGCTGGGTTTACTCTGAGAGAGGAAGAGCCACAAAGATGCCAAAGGCTCCCCACAACCTTGGATCTTGGTTTCCATCTTCCCCTGCAGGGGTCTGGGACTCCCAACCCTGGCCAACTTACAATCCTGTTGCTTTCAGAGTAGCAAAGAGTCTAAAACAAAGCACAGCATCTTATACATGGTCAGTACTCAGCAAATACGCTGAGCAGATGTGGACTCTGGTAGGACCAGAGAATAATCAGAGATGACAGCTCAGTCCCCGTAGTAAAATGAGGCCTGCAGAGGTGGCCCATCTGGGTCATGGCTGTCACCATGGCGGCCAGTGGCC